GGCGGGCGATGTCGTCGTGGAGGCACTTGGGTCGGAGCCCCCGAGCACTGGGTTGGCGTCGGGGTGTGTCCAGATCAGACCTTCTAGGATGCAGGTGGACAGCTCATGGAGGTCGTTGATGAAGACCCCGCTCGGAGATGGATCCCGCCTGGCGACTAATTTTGCGAGAAAATCGATGGCACTGTTGTCCTTTCGGGGGACGTGATGTAGCTCAATCCCCTGGAATTTGTCCTTGAGCTTGCGCACCTCTTGACAGTATGTTGCCATGAGAGGTCTTTTGTAGGAGGACTCCTTCATGACCTGGTCGATGACCAGCTCCGAGTCACCGTGAACATAGAGTCACGTAGCGCCAAGCTCAATGGCGGTGCGTAGTCCGTTGATGAGGGCCTCATACTCTGCGGCATTGTTTGAGGCTGGAAAGTGGAGGCAGATGGCATAGCAGAGCCTACTCTCATCTGGGGAGATCAGAACCACTCCAGCCCCCGAGACGGGTGCCATGACAGACCCAATGAAGTACATCGTCCAGCACTCATGGGTGACGTCTGGGGTCGGTAGCTGGACCTCCATCCATTCGGCGACAAAATCCATGAGAGCCTGAGACTTAATAGCGGTGTGGGGGATATACCTAATGTCGTGGCCCATGAGTTCAAGTGCCCACTTGGAGATTTGTCCCACGACATCGCGGTTGCGAACGATCTCCTTGAGCTGGTATGAAGTAACGACCATGACTTCGTGGTCGATGAAGTAGTGCAGGAGCTTCCGGGTCACCATCAGCACGGCGTATAGGAGTTTTTGCACCTAGGGGTACCAGACCTTGGGGTCGGTGAGTACCTCCTAGACAAAGTATACGGGTCGCTGGACCTTAAGGTGGTGTCTCGGCTCCTCCCTTTCGACGACTAGAGCGGCGCTCACCACGTGGTTGCTCGTCATGATGTAGAGGAGGAGGCATTCTCCCCGTTCGAGAGCGACAAGGATTGGGGCCGACGTTAGTGATGTTTTGAGGCTCTTCAAAGCCTATTGCGCTTTCTTAGTCCAGACGAAGGTGTCCATCCTTTTGAGGAGCTTGTAGAGAGGCATCCCCCGCTCGCCGAGCTAGGAGATGAACCGGCTCAGGGCGGCCAAGCAACCGGTGAGCCTCTATACGCCCTTAACGTTGCGTATACGGCCCATGTTGGAGATGGCCATGATCTTTTTGGGGTTGGTTTCGATACCTCGTTCGGACATGATGTATCCAAGCAGCTTCCCTTTCGGAACCCCGAAAACGTATTTCTCGGGATTTAATTTGATGTTGAACCTTCGGAGGTTCACGAACGTTGCGGCCAAGTTTGGGATTAGGTCGCAAGCTTGAGCCGTTTTGACCACTATGTCATCAACATAGACGGCAATTGTTGGTTTTGGTCGCTCAGTTTGATCAGGCTGATCGAGCAGGTCGATTTGGTCGACGAAGCATTGCTGTATGCACCTTTGGTAGGTGGCGCCAGCATTCTTCAGACCGAAAGGCATGGTTACGTAACAGTACAAACCATACGGGTGATGAACGAGGTTGCGAGTTGATCGAACTCTTTCATCACAATCTGGTGATAGCCTGAGTAGGCATCTAGAAAGGAGAGGATCTCGCATCCCGAGGTGGAGTCAACTATTTTTTCTCAAAGGAAAGTGATCCTTTGGGCACACTTTGTTGAGGCCGGTATAATCAACACACATTCTCCATTTCCCGATTTTGTTTTTAACAAGAACATGATTAGCAAGGAAGTCGGAGTGGAATACCTCTCTGATAAATCCAGCTGCTAGGAGTTTGGTGACCTCCTCGCCTATAGCCTTATGCCTCTCATCGTCGAAGCGACGTAGGCGTTGCTTGGCGGGCTTTGAGCCCCAGACGAGGCATAGTGCGTGCTCGGCGACCTCCTATGGTATGCCTGGCAGTCGGAAGGTTTCCATGCGAAGACATTGCAATTGGCACGTAGAAAGTCGGTGAGCTCACATTCCTATTTGGCCGGGAGCTGGGTCCCGATCCGCACCGTCTTGGTTGGGTCAGTGGGGTCGATCCCCACTACCTTAGTTTTCTCGAGTGGGCGGAAGGCTGTCGAGGAGGTTGGTTTGTTGCAGTCCGGGACTGCTGGGGTCGATGACTCCCTGAGCCACAGGAGCTCGGAAGAGTTGACAACCATAGTGGCGTGCTCTTAATGCTCATTGTCGCACGTGAAGACTTGCGAGAAGGTGCTACCCACAGTGATGACGCCGTTCGGTCCCGGCATCTTCAGCTTTAGGTAGGTGTAGTTGGGGACTGCCATGAATTTAGCGTAGCATGGCTGCCCCAAGATGGCGTGGTAAGACCCTGGGAAGTCCACCACCTCGAAGGTAAGCACCTCCGAGTAGAAGTTGGCTCAGTCGCCAAACATGATGGCCAGGTCGATCTGCCTGAGCGAGTACGCCTGTGCTCCTAGGATCACGCCGTGGAAGGGAGAGCTCGTTGGTCGGAGCTTCGACCGGGGGATGCACATGGCGTCGAGGGTGTCGACATAGAGGATGTTGAGGCCACTTTCTCCGTTCATCAGCACCTTGGTGAGGCGCTTCTTACAAACAATGGGGTCAACGACGAGTAGGTAGTGTCTCGGTCTGGCGATGTGGGATGGATGGTCCCTCTAATCAAAAGTGATCAGAGATTCCGACCAGCGAAGGAAGGAGGGGACGGCTATTTCGGCGATGCACACCTCTCGATAGCGCACTTTGTGCTGGCGCTTGGAGTAGACGGCATCGGATCCCCTGAAGATCATGATGCATTCCCCAGGGTCGGGGAAGCCATCCCCATCCTTGCCCGCTATGCCTCATTTCTTAGCTGCTGCCTCCTTGCCCTTTCCTTCCTTCAGCCCACCGGCCTATTGCAGGAAGCGCTTGAGGAGCTCGCAGTCCTTGTAGAGGTGTTTGATGGGGTAAGCATGGTTGGTGCAGGGGCTATCCATGAGTTTGCCAAAGTGGTCAGGTAGGCCCTACTGGGGCTGCTTGCCCACGCGATTAGCTGCGGTGACCAACGCGGAGTTGGCCGGTCGATGCCGGTCCTTCTTGTTCTTCTTGCCCCTCTATGTGGAGGGGCCCTCATCTTGGTCCTCATGCTTGGCCTTGCCCTTGTCCTAAACTCTGTTGAAGACCGCTTCGACTGCCTCCTCGCTAGAGGCATGGTTCGTGGCGACGTCGAGCAGGTCGCGGGTGGTTCGAGGCTTCAGGCAGCCAAGTTCCCGACGAAGATCCTCTTGAGATCCGCCCAGTCATGGATGCTATCATGCAGGAGGAATTTAAGCCACGCTCGAACATGTTCCCCCACGTAGATGGGGAGGTACTGAATGATGAAGTGATCATCATCCACTCCTCTGACTCGGTAGGCGAGCTAAAAGTCTTCGAGCCATATTCTAGGGTTCGTCACCCCGGTATACTTAGCGTTGTTGGTAGGCGGCCAGAAGCGCTATGGGAACGGCGCTCTCTGGATGCGTCGGCCAAAGGCCCGTGGTCCCAGGCCATCTGGGCCAGGACTTCGGTCGTTCGGTCTGCGACCACGCCTGGGGTGCGTCTCCCCGGTCTCCTCGATGGTCCGGTCAGAGCCCGTGTCGTCTACTCTCACTCCCGCCTGATGGACGTCATCATAATGACAGGCCTGACGCCGGTTGCTGATGATGCTGCGAGCGTCTTGGTTCGGCCTGAGGCGTTCACGCATAGGCGGTCGGTGTGGAGCGGGTGCCGGGTCAGGCTGTGGCACAGTTGCGCCCTCCTATGCCTTGCTCGGTGGCTGTAGCGGTGAGCGGATGGAGCGATTCATCTAGTGCATCCCCACTCCCCTGGTCTAGAGAGAGGCCACGAGTTGGTGTCGTGATGCGGAGCTCTCCACCTGTTGAATGGCGGTGGTTTCCACCAGTGCCTGGAGGTTCCGGTGGATCGCCTGTTCCTGGGGTTGTTCGACTCGGAAAGGCCACATAGAAGCATAGCCGCCGCAGCGATGTTTTGGCCGGCCCGAGCGAACTATGGGGGGTCGTTCCCCCTGTCCATGATGTTGTGCTGGACCTGGCGGGTGCGACCCCGGGAGCCACTCGCCGGGTTACGCGCACGGGGCGCATCGTGGTGCGCCGAGCGCGCTGGCGCAGGTGGCGGCTGGTTCTGCCACCTTTGTCATAGCTCCTCGCCATGCGCCTGGGCACATGTGAGGGCATCTACGCGAGGGTCTGGAGGGGTATGGGTCTGAAGAGACTCCGCTACCACCGGCGGCTGTCCCGGGGCATCCGCCATAGCGCACTCCAAGGACAGAGGGTGGCTAGGTGCCACGACGTCACCGATGCTGGAGTCGTTGCTCTCAACATCGTCATCCAGGAGGTCATGAAAAGAGACGGGAGCATAGCTCGCCATCCCCACGAATTCGGATGTGAGAGGGGGCGACACCAGCATACTTCGGAGCCCCCAGGCATACGCGTCCGTGGGGGACTTGAGCGTCCAGCTTTACTTACTCCACCCGTTTCTTGGTCCTCACCGAGTGGGCGTCCCCGGTCGGTTGGTCTAGGTTGGCTCTGACTGCGCCAGTCAGAGAAGAGCTATTAGCAGAGGTTCGGTGTGTCCCCGGTCGGAGACGCGGGTCGGAGTCAGAAGCGTTGTTGGCCAGGCCTTCCGGTCGGAGATGCGGGCCAGAGTCGGAAGCGAGGCCTTCCGGTCGGAGAGGCGGGCCAGAGTCAGAAGCGGGCGCCGTTCCTCCTTGGCCAGGCCTTCCTGTCGAAGATTGCATCACCCTTCTGGCCTGTCGTTAGGTTTTTAGGCCGACCCCGGAGTTGCGCGTCGTTCGCAACATCGTCTGCTGGGCCGAACTTTTGCTAGGAAGTAGGTCCATGAGGGACCCTAGGTTTATGAACCCGACAGAGCAGTTTTTGGCCCGCTTTAAAAGGCATGCATGGCATCGTTCCCAATTTATTGACCTAAGGCCACGGTCACCACGCGCGCGAGTGTGCTGCCGGCGATGAGCCCGTTCTATGGCCGGGTGGCTGCTGCTGGTCAGTCCGCATTCCGTTGTCGCGTGTCGCTTCGTGCCACGCAACGCCTTCGCCTCACCGTGGACGAGTCCCGTGGGCCAGCCCTGGTGGTGGCTGGTGATTGGCGACAGCTCCACAAACCAGTTACTGGCAATCAAAAGAGTGGCACTGCAGAAGAGGGCGAGAGTGAAACTTGCGTCCTCCGCTCCTGCAGAGGCTGGGAGAAAGGATTACATGATTTACTTGATGTCAGACTCTTACTTGGGCTGCGATCAGGAGTATGAATTCACCGTTGATGCCAAGGATGCTGGAGGGGATTGATGATGAAGACTCTGTGACACTAGGTCGCATAGAAGCAGTAGAACTTCGAGTGTGTATTGTAACACCATATTAGTGTTTTGGAACATTCTGTGTTGTAACCTCTGAACTTGTGGAAGCTGTAGCTTATTTTGGATGTTAACTGGTGCACTTTGGGAGTTGCTGTCTTATCCTATTCTGATATTATTGTAAGGATTACGCTCGGTTATACTTGGCCACACAGTATTTTGGATCAACTTGTTGCTTCCATAAGCTTGCTGCTGCTGTAATGTTTGATTTTAGTGACATGCAGAAAATGTTTTAACCTGTCGATGCACTAATGGTGTTGATGTTTTAACCTGTTCTATTGGCAGGATAGCCTATAAGGTTCTGTTGTTTCGATCTATCCTCCTACTAAGATGGTGGATATGGTCATATGGGATGGATGCCTTCCTACCAGGTGTTTTGTCGATGCTGTGATACTCCTTTAATATTTTTGCAGTGCTGATCACCTGAATTGTCCAACAAGAACTATATAAACAATGTTTTGCTGCTTCTCAGAACAGATACCAGCGTCAAAGATTGCATACTCGAATAGCTCTAGGAAAGGTGAGGTCTTTTCCTTGAATTTTAGAAACTACTCAATTCATTCCAAATTATAAGACGTTTTAGCTTTTCTAGATTCATAGTTTTTATTACGCATCTAGATATACAATATGTCTATGTATCTAGAAATACCAAAATGTCTTATAATTTGGGATGGAGGGAGTAGTTTTTTAATTTCAACACAATAGAATAAGTGTCTCACATAAGTATTCCAAATATGATCCTAACTAGAATTGCAAAAGGCCCTTTGTATACCATTAGACATTTTTTTCAAACCAAGGAACATTCTCCATTCCCATTTGTGTTGCAGTGGAAATTTGTATATGATGAAATTAGATGCATGGAGATATTCACTAGGTGCTTACAAAGAACAACTCAAGCTAAATAATGTTTCTCTGATTTAATACTCTCAAAAAGAAACAGGCAGCGAATTATCTTAAAAGAAATCTTGTGGGCAGAGCTTATTGGTAGAATGTGAATTAGTGTTGTGTCGCACCATTATCTAATATTCTATTCATTTTCCAAATTATAAGACGTTTTGGCGCCTGCAGTCGTGGTCATAGCGTACCTCGGGTTGGGCTTGAAGACACCGACCCTGGCTCGTGTCATCATGGGATGACGTTGCGGTGATGGCGAGCTCTGCGACGCCCGCGAGCTTGTGCCAGGAGAGCCCTGCGTCGGCGTCGGCGTCACGGGGAATGTGGAAGAGGATACCGGTGGTCCATGTTTTTGTATCGTTGATTGCATCAAAGTGAGTACTTGAGCATGGCATAGGTGATTGTTGTGTTGGGTGTCGCGTTGCTCTCGTAAAAATTCCCCAAACTTTGTTGGAACGTGCGGTAAACCACGTGTTGGCGCTCTGTCCGTGAACCGGCGTTTAGCGTGACGAACTCATGTTGGCATCTCTCTATCTCCCTCTCTGGTTGCTCCCTGGTCATGACGATTGCCTTGCTAGCTAGCTGGTAGTGTTGACCTTAGGTTCATAGAATTGGTTGAGCCTTCGTCGAATCAGTGAGTAGTTTTTGGCCCGCTTTAAAAAGCGTGCATGGCATCGTTCCCAGTTTCTTGACTTGAGGCCGCGGTCACCACGGGCGCGAGTGTGCTGCCAATGACGAGCTTGGGCCGTGGCTGGGTGGCTGCCGCTGGTCAGTCCGCATTCCGTTGTCGCGTGTCGCTTGGTGCCGCGCAACGCCTTCGCCTCGCCGTGGACGAGTCCCGCGGGCCAGCCCTGGTGGTCGGCCGGCTGTGCGCCAGGCCAGGCTTGGCCACCACCGCCCGCGTCGTGTGCACGTATTGCCAAGTCGCGCACAGGACTGCACTCTACCTTCCCTATCACCTTGCCTCGCCCTGTAGCGCGCGTTCACAGCCGCTCACCTCACCTACCCCGCTCCTACTCGTGCCGCCTCCTGCCGCATCGTGACGCCGCGTTGCCATGTACACATGGACGCACAGGCACCCCCAAGGGCTCCACCCGAGCATTAACCACGCAACCCTTGCCCTCGCTCGTGAGGTTGTGTCCTCATGCTGCCATGCCTTGTCGGGTCTTGGTCGGGTCACCTCCGTCGGGGCCACTCCCTGCGACGTGGCGGTGGCAGTGCGCAGCTCTCCTCTTCCCTTCATAATCACCGACTTGAGCCCTCCCAGTCCAATTCCTCACACCGGTTTATAGCTTAGCAAGTTAGCTAGGTGTCGCATTCTCATCGAGCCTAGCCTTGGTTTGTCAGTGGTCAATTTCGGTTTCTCCTCGCCGCCGGTCATGTGCGTCGCTGTGACCAGAGGGTTGGGGGTGAGGCCCGTAGGAGTGGTAACAGTTCAAGTCCCCGTAACTCTAAACTCGCCTTGACTCCCTCTATCCGGTGCTCACACTATTTTGGCCAGGGAACTCATCGGCGACGTGGTGGCATGTCGGTGTCCGGCTTGGTGCGTCGTCGCCGTGCTCGGGCGCACGTGGCTTGACCACCTCAGTTTTTCCTTGCTTCAACCGTCACTATAGAGTACACCAGGGTGAGCTACTGTTGCTTCTTCGCCATCTCTACCTTTTCATGAGGGTGTAGGCTCTCCAGAACAGACGCACCGCTGTCGCGGATAGCCACTCGCCGCTACAGCCCGCGACAGTGCGCCTCCGAGTCCCTAACCGCCACCCATCGTTGCGCGTTTAGCTGTAGATGATGGTCAGCCCCAAACTTCCACCGTAGAACGCCTAGGTTGCCTGACGTAACTGCCTTATGCCGTCGGCCGCGGCACCGACGCGCGCGGGGGTCTCTAGGGACCTCCCCGTGGTAAAGGCAAAAACATCCGAGGGTTTGGTTGCAAAGTTACTGACGGTAGGAATAGTACGCATAGTAGTCGTATTAATCTCTGAAAGCTCGGGGGCCTTTCTACAAAACAGCCAACACGCGCGGGCGCCCCGGCCTTGGGCCATACAGGGCCACCGCAACGCGCGCATAGTCACGCCGCGCTGGGTTGGCGGGCCAGAAGGGGTTGCTGCCGGCCCTTTTCTTTTTCTAATGCATTTTTAATTTAGTTTCTAAGGTAAACTTGTAAATTCAGTATAAAATTGTGTAGTTCACCAAAAATTGTGAAACCAATTTTGTTAGGTTCCTAAAATCATGATCTATCTGCTAGTATATTTTGTTCACATAGTTTTTATAATATTTACAAAAGTGATCTAATTAATTTGAGATGCTTAATTTTGTTAAGATATAAACTTGAAGGAATTTTTGTGATAAATTGGTGATAGTGTTGGCTCTGAAACTTTCATAGTAAATTCCTCACATTATTAGGTGCTCACTGTAATTTTTGTAGCTCCATAATAATTAGTTTGCTAGGGTAGCTAAATGAGCCCTAGTTCGAAAATATATGTTTAATCAATAAAATACCGAAACGCCTTTGGAATTGTAGGTCTCAAACATTTTCTGGAGGCAAAGCTTTACTTGACGATGTGGATACATAGACTAGTACGTTAGTCATTAAGGCTAGCTCATTAGCATGTGGAGCGTAATTGTATTTTAGAGTTGTAGTTGTCGTTTATTATTTATATTTCTGCGTTGCATCCAAGTATATCATAATAGAAACAACAATGGATCATAGAGTCGACTGAAGTAGCGGAAAAGATGGTGCCCTGATGATCGTGTCACTATGATGGAATGCTAACTTTTGGTTATATCTTACCCAGGCAAGCCCCGGTGCATAACCCCTATTATTCTACACTTTATCTTATGCTTGTGCATTAAATTTTAAGGAGTTGAATGAAAACCACTTGCATATATATATCATTATCCTACGAGATCTACTAGTATGTCAGGATCGTGTAGATTGCTATGTTATAGGATCCGGTAGAAGTCGAGTGATTACCTGTCACTCGTGAGAGATAGAAAATATATTATTGTTGTTATTATATTACTATCACATGGAATATATATGAAGGATAATTGGAGACCAGGCGGAATGGTACTTTGGATCTGGTCTTGGTTAGGCATCCGAGCGAGGCTTGGATTGCACTTGTTCCACCAGTGTCGATTGAGGACCGTCCGATGCTGTGGATGGTAGTCAGATCACAGACTTATTATCCTGAGCACATACTTACTTATGGGAGCCGGAAGGCTCATTACGCTCTTGTCATGGGTTACGACTCTTTCTGGACCGACTGATTGGAGGCGGGGAAAGGTGGAGGTCTAAGCACCACATTGAGACCGGGTCTCAAGTGTGGGGGCTTAGAGTCCAAGTTTGGACGGAGACCTAGACCCCATGATAGGAGTGGAATGGGTTGGTCTTATTTGTACCTAGGGTACAAGTGAGGCGTGTGTTTCGGGGTACCCAGCTGGGATATATTGGTTCGCGAATCACCATTTCTGTGAGATGGTACTGACTTGGCTATGGTCTAGCACCGTAGTAAGAACTGGAATATGAAAGATGGTAAAATAGTTCTAATTGCTCACCACCTGCTTGAAAGTAGCATAGGTGCTTACATAGAATGGTTAGTTAATGAACTAATGATGACTGCTAATAAAATTAACTATAAGAACACACATTTAGTAATGCTTCACGCCGATGCAATAACCCACAAGCCAGATAGCCTTGCATATCCTTGGAGTCTTTTATTTTCCTCCTGTCGGGTAAGTCTTGCTGAGCACAATCGAGTACTCAGGGTTTTATTCCCCCTGTTGCAGGTGACCAGAGGATACGTAGAGCTGACTCTTGTGTGTGGAAACCTCCTTATAGGATCTCTGGTACGCCTAGAGGGGATGAAAAGGCCTATAACAATTCAACTCAAACCGAAGTCAAATTCACCAGCGGCACTGCCGCCCTTTGAGCACGGCACTACTGCACCTATAGGAGAGATTAGTTCATAGTTCAAAATCTATCCAACGAAATTTAGATCGGGTAAATTTCTTAGCTTCTTGCAGGGTGTTAGATCA